CCCCCCCCCCCCCCCCCCCCCCGACTAGACGTGTGAGACAGTGGAGGAGCAAAGTTTTACAAAGCAAACAATAAAAATGACAACATGTACGACATCTACGTGCAGATGAAACATTTAAACAGGGTCGAGGCATAAGCAGACTTGAGACTTTGCTGCTTAGGGCCCGGGACCACTAGGGGGCCCCTTAAGTAGATATTCTTCTTTTTTGTAATGATTTCTATATGATTGACACAGGTGCATCTGCAGAGAGAAGCTCAAACTAATAAAGAACTATTTGAGATCTTCCATGTGTAACCAGGTGGTTTATTAGTTTCAAAATAGTGTTTATGTAGAAGTGGCTGTACATTCCCACCCGTGTTGGGCCCATGAATGCACCTATGCCCCTGTTTTCTCACCTCTGCTTTCGGTTTGCAGTGTTGCCTGGCTCATTAGTATATAGGCAGGCACCGGGTGTACTCCAAGTCACGATCCGTGTCCTTCCCCCCCCCCCCCCCCGTGATACACGTGGCACAAGAACGACTGAGTGGACTGGCAGTGATTAATATTAACAACAAAGTTGGCCATCAGATTTCTTACAGTGATGTCATGAATGACTTCGTAACCAGAAAAGCCAGGAAGCACAGGTTTTAGGAAGTTTGTGAAGTAACTAGGAAGAAGTAACACAAACAGGTCAAATGTGTGGGTAAAGGTTGTTAAATTTTTTTAAGTTCAGCTTTTGCAAATTATTGCATACATAGTTTTAAGAACTAATTATTCAACTTTAAATTTATTTTTTAAATCATTTTATGTGGTTTCAAGTAATTGTTCATTTACATTATATAAGTATTTTCTTGATATTTTATTTTTTTTATTTTATTTAATTTTGTCTGTTTTTGCACAATGTAATTTATTTTTATGCATTTAAGTTATTTTATCTGTTGTTTGTTGTTGATTTGTATTACAAATTATTTTGAGCATTACTGCTGCAGTTCTTTGGAACCAAAGATAATAAACCAGATGACACAATGTTGCTGTAAAATACATTGCGTACTGGTGTTTTTTTTTCTTCTTTTGTTAGTACCATGTACCAGTACATATAGGATAATGTAAACAGGGCTGTCAGAGTTGCAATGAGTTTATGTTAGGTGGGTGAATGATCTGATTATCTGACTGTTGATTGCAGTAATCCACATTATTAGCAGAAATAAAGGGCCCCAAACAAAATTGTGCTGGAGGCTTGGACAGGTCTTCTGTCACACCGGTACTGCATTTAGACATGAAAAAATAAAGGAAAACAAAACAGAGATTAATAAATTCATTACTTTGTGCATAAACTTGCCACGTTTTGATAAATTGCAAATATGGGCCTTTAATTGCATGCCTTTATGTAATTAAAAAATATTCGACAGTCAACTTAATAAAACAAAACATCTCAGATTAACTTTTTTAATTTATAAATCACACCAACAAACCTTTAAATTACAATATTACAAAAGCATAATCAAATTGAAATGCACATATAGCAAGAAAAACAGTTTCCCACATTACAAGAACCAAACACAAGAAATGTAACAAAACAAACAGAAAGCATTAAGTGTATCCTGATGCATGCTCAATAATCCAGGTAGAAAAAATATAAAAAAGTGAAGTCAGGTCCTCTGGATGGGTTAAAAATAAAATAAAATTTGTAGAAACGTTTTATTTTTATTTTGTTTAATCCATCCAGAGTACCTGATTTAACTTTTGTAGTTAAATCAGGTACTTTTAGAAATCGCTACGTCTCCCCCTGCTGGTCTGGAGGCGCATCGCACTTACCGGAAATGTAATTTATTTTTTATTTTTTTTACCGGAAATGCAATTCGCTGGTCCGAGAGCTGTGGCGCGATACACCCTGGCAACGAACGCTATGTGCATACAAACAAATTCATGTAAAAATCAATCAGTAGAGCCTTTTCCTCTTGTCTTGGATCTAACATCTGTAGGGCATTATCTGTTCTCTTCACCTCTACATACAGAAGCAGACGTTTAGGAGAACATGCCTCGTAGACGACAGGTAAGAAGAACAATTAGGTCGCACGAGAGGTTTAGCTTTAGCAGAGTTAGCGCGAATGTCTGCCGTTCTCCCGGGTGACTAGCTAGAACGTTCCGCCACTCAGTAAGCCGACAATTTAACGTTCTAAAACTACAACTAGCTCGTTCAAACAAGCAGCTTTACAACTTTTTGCTACTTATTACAGACGAAGGTGTCTGTCTTGTTTAGGATTTGGCAGAGTTTACAATGATTTTATAGTAAATGAAGCCTCCGTTGTCAACAAGCCTTACATAAGGTTTAGCCTGTGAAAATATCAAATTCTAATCTAGCTTTATGAATGAAATGTGTGCCGAATTTATGTTTAGCACATAGCCACAGTATTTATTCATAATTTAGCTTTTAATGTTTATAAATAAAATGTCATTTATGCAAAGTATTGTAATTATGAATGCAGTCTGGTGTCCCAGACAGCTTTAGCTTAGCTAACGAGCGACCCTAAACAAACAATGTGTGCACGCAGGCTGCTATGTTGCTATGGCTAACCTAACTTTATTAATTATTTTCAGAATTAAATTGTTTATTTTGGTCAAATATTTTTGTTAAGCTTTAATTACAGCTGTTTTGCTTTAAGCCTTGAGCAATTAGCTGTCGGTAAATAGAAGTTAAACAGAAAATGTTGCTCTTTGTAGCCAAGCATTTTGTTACTTTTGCTCCAGTTTATTGTAAAGTTTTCTAAATTAATTCAAGTTTAATTCTTTTAAATTAGTTTTCGGTCTAAATTATTGTATTAAAAAGACAGACGTTAGCTGTAGTTCTGTTTATAATACATAATTAAAATATCCAGTGTTCACAAAATTCATTATTTATTAAAATTGTGGCCACATTGTTGCGCTTGCCGCCCTAATTTAATTTTTTTTTTTTTTATGTTAAGAGACCCATGGCTGGGAGTGGATCAGACGGAACTGAGGACTCTGACTCCTCGGCTGAAAGAGAACAGACCAACAGCTCAGAGAGTGATGGAAACATGCCCAAAAGACAACGCCTCACCAGGGCTTCTACCCGCCTTAGCCAAAGCTCTCAGGGTTGGTCAGCGTTTCTAAAAATAAAAAAGTATATGCACTATTTTAATCTCAGCTAGATGATCACAACAGTGGTTTGACTTTTTCTCTTTAGATACACCAGACTTGAAGCGAGCTGCAGACCACGATGAATCTCCGCCCCTCACACCTACAGGAAATGCGCCCTCCTCTGAATCCGAGCTGGACGTTTCCAGCCCCAATGCTTCTCATGACGAGAGTCAGTCTAAAGATCAGGCTAACAGAGACTCTGATAAAGACCTCTCCCATCGACCCAAGCGCCGCCGTTGTCACGAAACCTACAACTTCAACATGAAATGTCCAACACCTGGGTGTAACTCCCTTGGTAAAAAAAAAAAAAAAAATTACCTTACTGTGCAATTTGCTAATCCCAGGTTTTCATGTTTGTTTCTGTATTTCCACACTTTCTTTGATTTGACATTTTTCTGAATTTGTATAGGCCACCTTACAGGGAAACACGAACGGCATTTTGCTATATCAGGGTGTCCTCTTTACCACAATCTTTCTGCGGACGAGTGCAAGGTGAGTTTATAACCTCGTTGGTATCTGTGGACTCACTGCAAAACAAACACTGGTGAAGTTTCTAGAAGCTACAGTACATAAAAACGTAAAGAATTGAAGTTGTTCAGGAATGTTGGTTTTCAAAGCTTTCACCACATGTCACTCTTCTGTGAGAGTTGCACTGTTTTCTGCATGGATTATTTAATTTAGCTGGGATGAAGAAAAGGATGCTTGTGACTTAATGGAGAAGCGTCATCACAGATAAACTTGTTTTCTGCATGGCTGCAGCTTTAGAAAGAGGTAAATAAAATTAAAAGCTGACAAAATAGATAAATAAAAGGTTTAACAACAAATTGATTGGGTACTTGAACCCCCCAAATTCTTAAAAATATTACCCCCTTCTAGGTCCAGTCCTAAAGATGAACTTGAATAACTTTTGCTCTCACCTAAAATCACCCCAGTAGTGTTTGTTTCAGGCTGATATGACCTGAATAAAAAAATGTTTAGCAGCAGGAGCTTCCTGTGCCACAGATACATAATGACACAAGAGGAAGTAAAAACTATTCACGCATTTATTTTTCAGGTGAAAGCCATCAGCCGTGAGAAACACGAAGAGGACGCTAAAGTCCCAGAAGAGAACAACACTCGCCATGCGACTCGTCACCAGGTGAATGATTAGCCTCACGTTATTGTAGGTTTCTTTCAGAACAGGAGCCTTTAGTGTTATTGTGGGGCTTCTTTCAGTGCACTGGCTTTTCTGCAAGAGAAATAATTATTTTGTTGTCTTAATCCTTAGACACCAACACCGAAACAGAGCAGATATAAGGAGCAGGTGGCAGAGATGAGGAAGGGACGAAACTCTGGCCTGCAGAAAGAGCAGAAAGAAAAGCACATGGTACATCACCAGCAAATCAGAACATTGTCCATCTGCTGAGTTTTGTAGCTGCAACAAGTTTTCTATTTTATAAATCTCTATAGCTGTCGCTTTGCCTTTTGTTTGATTTTATATTTGGTCTGCAGGAACACCGGCAGACATACAGCAACACCAGAGAGCCTCTGCTCGAGAACATCACCAGCGACTATGACCTGGAGCTGTTCAGAAAAGCCCAAGCCCGTGCGTCTGAAGATCTGGTAATGTGACGTTTATGCTAATTTACGATCGTTTCTGTACAGAAACTTCCTTTTTTAGCTGCATCCTTAATACTAAGATCTTTACCAGGGCCGTAACAGGCTTGTTTTTTGTGTTTATCTCCTGCAGGAGAAGCTGCGTATCCAGGGTCAGATCACCGAGGGCAGCAATATGATCAAGACCATCGTGTTTGGCCGCTATGAGCTGGACACCTGGTACCACTCGCCCTATCCTGAGGAATACGCTCGTCTCGGTCGTTTATACGTCTGCGAGTTCTGTCTCAAGTACATGAAGAGTCAGACCATTCTCAGAAGACACATGGTGAGACTTTAGATGGCAAGTCTCAGAATGAATAATGTTCGGCTGAGTGTTTGTGAGGGTGGGGTCCTTTATAATCTAAAAACTAAATATTGTTTAGCTTCATGAAGACGTATTCTGTTGTTGTTTTTAGGCTAAGTGTGTGTGGAAGCACCCCCCAGGAGACGAGGTGTACAGAAAAGGCTCTATATCAGTGTTTGAAGTTGATGGCAAAAAAAATAAGGTAAGGACATTCAAACTTTAAAATGTCTCCGTTCTTTAGATATTCGTACCCGTCACAGAACAAGACGTCTTCTTTTAAAGCCAGTTACAATCTTAATCTGTCATTTAATCCTCAGATTTACTGCCAGAACTTGTGTTTACTTGCCAAACTTTTCCTGGACCACAAAACTCTTTATTACGACGTGGAGCCTTTCCTGTTCTACGTCATGACCGAGGCTGACAACACCGGCTGCCATTTAGTGGGATATTTTTCCAAGGTAAAAAAAATAAATAAATTACAATGACACGTTAGTACTTCGAACACTTCTTTATTTTATCATAAATGTATTTTTAGCTTGGGTACATTTTTAGTTCATTGTAAATCTGTTGACAAAGGAACTTAAACATTTTTTTGTTTGTTTGAATAACTAGGAGAAGAACTCTTTCCTGAACTATAATGTATCTTGTATCCTGACAATGCCACAGTACATGAGACAGGGCTTTGGCAAGATGCTCATTGACTTCAGTACGTATACAAACACATTTTGTTTTACTTGTACAACGACCTTCAAAAGTTCTTATAGGGGAAAATAGATTGTTTTAATGTTCTCAGTTTCCTGATGACTGCTCTCTGCTCCTTCTCAGGTTATCTGCTGTCCAAAGTGGAGGAGAAAGTGGGCTCGCCGGAACGACCGTTGTCTGACCTGGGCCTCATCAGCTACCGCAGCTACTGGAAGGAAGTGTTACTCAGATACATGTACAACTTTCAGGGCAAGGAGATCTCCATCAAAGGTGAGCAAGAACTTTAAATCGAACAAAGTTAAGTCCGGTCCTCTGGACAGGTCATGTTGCACAGAAGAGCAACATCATCAGGCCAGGACTCTGCGGTCTACACTCATCTCCAGGCCAGCGGTCACTCTTTCAGGGATGAAGATGTTCACATCCTGGACAGAGAGGAACGATGGTTTGAGTTGTGGAACCAAAATTCCAGTTTCTGTCCGTGAGGCTGACGCATTGTCCAGTTTTCAGACTGGGCTTAAGACTTTCCTTTTTGATAAATCCTATAGTTAGGGTTGGCTTGTTATGCTGCTGTAGGTTTAGACTACTGGAGGACAAATTGACCTCATTTCTTAAAATTAATTGTTACAATTGAATAGTTTTAATTTGATACTATTTCTATCTCAACATGTGATTCTTGACCTGCCATTGTGTATCTGTTCCTCCTTCCTGTTCCTCTCGGCCGCTTGTCCTGAGCCTGGTTCTGCTAAAGGTTTCTTCCTCAGGAGGGAGTTTTTCTTTCCACTGTCGCCTTCATGCTCGCTCAAGATGAGAGTTCTGTGATGGAGTTCAACTCAAAGCAGTCTGCTCCTCAGATAAATAATGTTAAATTATTATTTTTATATATGAATGTTTCTGTTCAGTGCCCTGAGATGATTCTGTTGTGACTTGGCGCTATATGAACTGAACTGAATTGAGAGAAGAGTGAAGGAAGTCATCTGTATGAAGAGAAATCGTCCATCATTAAACTGTGTCCATGTCCAACTGTCCCTCTTACAATGCTGTTATTGCTAGCGTCACTCAGCCCTCTGTGAATAGCAAGCGGCCGTGAGAGCATTAACGATCGGTCGTTAGGCTGATGGTCCTCCTTGATCATGTGAACAGCTAGTTCTGGATGTCACCATGAGAAGGTGTTATTTATAAGACTGAGTTTATTGCAGCTCCTCAGACTGACAAAGTCTTTTAGATGAAAGACGAAACGTTTCAACATTTTTATTTATTTATTTATTTTAGTTCATCCAGAGGACCGGACTTCACTTTGTTAGGTTTTTCTACCTGGATTATTGAGCATGCATCAGGATAAGAACTTTAAATGTCTATTTTTTTTTTTAAGTCCATAGAGACATTAGAATATAATTTTAAAATTATTTAACCCAGTGGACACAAATTGATCAACTATTTTCTCTTTTGTTATTCTTTGGATGCTCAGAGATCAGTCAGGAAACTGCAGTCAATCCGGTGGACATTGTGAGCACCCTGCAGTCTCTACAGATGCTGAAGTATTGGAAAGGAAAGCATTTAGTACTAAAGCGACAGGTACGATTTTTATTGTTGTTAAAAAAAAAAAAAGAAGTAATTATATCCTGAAATAATCCACGTATGTGACAATTCTGCCTTTACCCCCAAATTAGGACCTGATTGATGAGTGGAAAGCGAAGGAGATCAAACGAGGGAACAGCAACAAAACCATCGACCCCAGCTCGCTCAAATGGACCCCCCCCAAAGGAACATGAGCACAAAATCCTCAGGCTACTTAAAAAACTCACCTTCAGCCTAACAAGCCACAAGTAGCCTAGACCTCTGACTCTTCAATAAAGATCAGTGTTTCATTTATTTCACAATTTTATTCTGTTGATTTGTGTATACTTTTAAATTTTATTTTATACTTTGATATTTTACTTCTTTTTATGTTTTCAAGATCGTGTTCCAGGTCAGGTGAATCCGGTCATTGTCAAACACCTCCAGAATTTGTCTCGTTTTAAAACGCCTTCTGTGCGATTCGTTGTGAAAGTGAAATGATCGGTCCAGTTTGGAGGATTACATGAATGTTTGGCTTGAATGCTCACTGACATTCAGCAGCATTTTCAGGTTTATTATATTTCAAACACGTCCGGTGCGTGCTGACGATGGTAGATGTTCCTGTTTGGGGTCAACACAGCTGTTCGCACAAACAGAAACTACGCAGGGTATATTTTAGAGAACTTGTCTTTGGTTGGTGTAAAAATTGTATAGATTATTTTTTTCCTTTATTTGTAGCTCTTGATTAGGACAAGATTTGTACCCATTCTTCTGGTAAACCTGCCAAATAAGAAAATAAACTCAGATGTGTTGAATTAGAAGACGACATGACTGTAGTGACGCACATGAAGAGAACACGAGCTCAGGTTTCCACACAGATACAATCGTACCCTGCTTGTACGGATCCTCTGCATCCTGGATCTCACTGGTTGCAGATGGAGCCACTCCGGTTAACAAATCTGTAATAAACAAACAAACAAAAAAAAAAACATCAGACCCGGCCGGTTTTTGCCTTGTGAATCTAATCATAGTAGTTGAGTGTGTATCAGGAATTTGATATTTTTAATATCAATAAAGCTGCCTTGATATTTTGAATTGTTTTGTGGCTTTGTACTGCTGCTGGCTCACCTCCACTGGAAATACTTCTTCCCATTAAGCCCACAAATGCATCTCCTTTATTTCCTACAAGTATAGAAAAATAAATGTTTAAATTGCTGTAAGGAAAGCTTTTTGAGTTGACTTAATTTACTCACGTCTGTTTACTTGGAACGGTTTCTTTGTAGCTACGAGGAGGAAAATGATCATAAAATCATGTGCCTATTTTTACTTTTTAGTAAAGATTGCACGTGAGGATTTATTCAAGGACTACCTGCTCGTTTCCCCATTAATCCATAGAAGCGAAGGGCTTTTGATCTTTTCATTAGACTTTCTGCTAGATTGGTCAGACCTCTGTCCACCGAGTCATCCTGCCAGGAAAAATGTTAGGATTTTTTTTTTATTTTGAGAAAAGCTCATGTTCTTTTCCTAAAGAAATCATGCAATTTTGAAAACATTTTTTTTTACTTTGCACATGTAAGTCGTACCTGCCAGTCTTGAGAAAGCCTTCTCTCCTCTTCTGCACTCAACGATAATCCCTGGTAGGTTTGTACCAAAGCCCAAAAAGTCACAACGAGAAGCTGAATCTTCCAATTATCCATTTGTTGACCAAGTAGAATAGAATCACTCGTCAGTATTTGTCAAGTTTTATATATTTATATATATATATATAACCTCCTTGGGTGACCAGTATTTTGTTTTCAGTCATTTTTTCCAGCTGAACTCAGCCTGTATTTATACCAGTAAACCCCCTCCTATACTGAACCCCCTCCCCTCTAACAATAATGATGCACCTGCCTCCTTTAGATCCGTCACGTTCGTCATATCAAAGCTTTTCTGTAAAACTTAAAGTTTTATATAATTATGTTATAAAAGGCAGATGAACATATTTTAAGCACTGAATGATTTATATTAAGTTATTTATAAATTCTGTATTTTCTCCACAGCTGTAACAGATGTGATTTAAAATGATTAAAAAAAAAAAAACATGGTAATGTTCAAGCTCAAATATTTACATTAGAAATTGTCTTCTTTATGTTACCATTTTTATTGGCTTGTTGCAGATCTAAGAGCGTTCCCTTTTTCACATTTATTATAACTTGTGATGTGTGCACTGCTTTGATATTTCAGAGCGTGAGGGACAAGCAGGCGCCAGGTCTCTACGCGGAGAGTCTGCAAATATATTTACTTTGAAGAATTTATAGATCAGCCTTTTGGCTCGGGCTGCGACTAGTTCATAGTTTGTTAAACAGGAGGAGCGTGGGGGTGACATCTGTAGGGATGAAATGGATTATTGTGCTGATGTATTTAAATTTAAATGAATACTTTAGACTTTTTCAAGTGGGGTTCTGTGGAAAAGGTGTGAATAATTAATATCTCACCTGTTGTAGATAGTAGGAATGGGCAGTGATTTTTGAATTTTCAATGTCTTGTTAACCTACCAAACAGAAGAACAAAAATACAGTACTTCGTCAAATAATGAAATAACACGTTCAAAGGATTCTGCTTAAAATTTCCATTCCTAGTAAATATGGCAGTTCTTTGAATGACCTCAGTTTTGAATAAAATAAAATTGAATTTAACCTTCAGAACGCAAAATGCACGTGTAGATTTTGCTCTTCACATCCAAACGGAACTTCGCAGCAACATCTAACCAGGAAAGACGTACCTCTACCAAAGTAAGGTGACGTTTTTACAGAGGCAAAGCATCTAAACCAGTATTCAACCTTTATTTATACTAGTCTCACTGAGTCACGAGGACTCATTTTCAAGAGAGTCAAGAGTTTATTTGTCATTCGCACCACGTGGTGACGTGGTGGAGCAAAATTATTTAAACAGGGTCCCAGTTACATCCCACAATAAAATGCAAAAGAAAAACAGTAATAAGATCTAAGATATGAACTAAGACAAACATTAACTAAAAATACACTAAGCACTAACGGCATAAAAACAATATGCCGAACAGCAGCACGAACATGAGTCTGTGAGAGCAGATGAGCACGCATGAACACACCAGCATGAAACAGATCAGCAGCAACATGAAACAGATCAGCAGCAACATGAAACAGATCAGCAGCAACATGATGTTATTTTTCACAGTGATTATTCTGATTAGAGATTCATGAGTCTAACAGCCTCAGGGTAGAAGCTGTTCTTCAGTCTAGTGGTTCTACACTTAACGCTCCTCAACCTCCTTCCTGAGGGGAGTGGGGCAAAAAGTGTGTGTGCTGGTTGAGTGGGGTCCTTCATGATGCAGGTGGCCCTCTTCCTGCATCTGGAGGTGTAGATGTCTGTGATGGTGGGGAGACTGACTCCGACAGACTTCTGTGCAGCCTTCACCACTCTCTGCAAAGCTTTTCTTTCTACAGTTGTGCAGCCTCCATGCCACACATTGATGCTGGAGCACAGGATGCTCTCCACTGCACACCTGTAGAAGGAGGTGAGGACTGAGCTTCCCAGACCAGCTTGCATCAGCCGCCTGAGGAAGTAGTCTCTGATGAGGTTTCTTGATCAGCCTGGTGGTGTTGTTGCCCCAGCTGAGGTTATTGTTAAGGTGTACACCCAAGTACTTGGAGACCACTTCCACCGTAGATGAGGTGACAGGGCCTTCTTTGTAGCAGGACCAAGACTTTGGAATGAGTTACCTCTGCTTGTCAGACAGGCCCTCTCCCTCCCGGTTTTCAAATCCCGTATAAAAACCCACTACTATTCAGTAGCATTCAACACCAGAGGATCCGTGTTTTGAACCTGTATGCTCCACACTGGTTAGTCGTCATTATCTGCATCGTTTTAATGTCTATATTCTGATTTACTTAATTTTGTATATTGCTTTGTATGTTACCTGTTGTTCTGTCTGTACAGCACTTTAGTTGGCCTTGTCGCTGTTTTAAGTGCTCTACAAATAAAGTGGTACGGTATGGTATACCACCTATGTTTGGGGGTTGGGGGGGTGGGGTGGGGGTTAGGTAGGTGTGTTTGTTCCTTCTGAAGAGAGACCTGTTTTAAATAACACAAATGAGGTACAGACAACAATAGACAAGCATATAAAATGAAACATGAATAAAATAAATGATATAAAGAGACAAAAACAAGCTACATTATAAAACGGTGTAAAATACTAAAAAGAGGAACATGTATAAAATAGTGTAAAAATCTCCTTGAGTTTGTGCACCTGAATGATCCTAGGAGCTATGCTGTTGGGGGCAATTAAAATTGTCCCTGGTAGGGTCTCCCAAGGCAGATTGGTCCTAGGTAACAGGCCAGACAATAAGTGATTCAAAAGATTTTTATGGACATGACACAGCAAGGAACTCTGTGTCCCTTGCCTGGACGTGGGTTACTGGGGCCCCACCATGGAGCCAGGCCTGGGGGAGGGCCTCATTGACGAGCACCTGGTGACTGAGTCCATGGGGCCCGGTTGGGCTCAGCCCGAAGGAGCAGCATGGGTTTGCCTTCCTGTGGACCCACCACCTGCAGGAAGGGCCATAAAAGTCAGGTGCGTGATGCCATGAGCAGTGGCCCAAGGCGGGGACTTTGGCGTTCTGACTCTGTTTACCAAGTAATGCATTCATTACATCCAGGCTTAATTACTGCAACTTGCTCCTGTTTGGTATCAGTTAGCCCTCCACTGCATGACTGCAACTGGTCCAAAATGCAGCAGCCTGATTTTTAACCAGTACAGGCAAAAAATTCAATTCAGTTTATTTATATAGCACCAAATCACAAAAAAAGTTGTCTTAGGGCATTTTACAGGAACTTTCATATACATAAAAGCCAATTAACAAAGTTCTTTATCTAAAGAGGCCAGCAGACAAGTTGAATCTTGGCTTCATTGCAGTCTCCCATCCTGAGCAAGCACAGTGGCAACAATGGAAAGGAAAAACTCCCTTTTAAAAGGAAGAAACCTCCAGCAGAACCAGGTTCAGGACAAGCGGCCATCTGCTTTGACCGGCTGGTTTGAGAAAAAGAGAGCACATTACACCTGTTTAGGCCTCCCTGCACTGGCTACCGGTTCACTTTTGTATCCAGTTCAAAATACTCTTGTATGTCTATAAATCACTGAAAAGCTCTGCACCCTCCTATCTCACTGATCTGCTGCAGCCGTATGTCCCATCGAGTTCTCTGAGGTCAGCAGACCAGTTGCTTCTCACAGTTCCAGGAACCAGTCTTAAGCACAGAGGTGACAGGGCCTTCTTGGTGGTGGACACCCTGGGTTAGGGAGGCTGCCAAGCTGAAGAAGGAGTCCTGTTGGGCCTTGTTGATGAGTGGGACTCCAGAGGCAGCTGAGGAGTACCGGAGAGCCAAGCGGTCCGCAGCCTTGGCTGTTTCTGAGGCAAAAGCTCAGATATGGGAGGAGTTCGGTGAGACCTTGGATAACGACTCTCAGTCGGCTCCAAGGAGATTCTGGCAAACCATCAGATGCTGAGGAGGGGAAAGCAACACTTTACTAACACTGTATTCAGTGAAGGTGGGCTGCTGTTGACCTCAACCAGTGATGTCGTTGAGAGGTGGAAGGAATACATCTCTGACCTTCTCAAGCCCACCAGCACGTCTTCCTGAGCACGTCTTCCTGAGTCCCCCGACTTGGGGTTGATCCATCCATAACTGTGGCTGAGGTTGCCGAGGTAGTTAAAAAGCTCCACGACGGCAGGGCTCCGGGAGTGGATGAGATTCACCCTGATTTCCTACAGGCTCTGGATGTTGTGGGGCTGTCTTGATTGACATGCCTTTGCAACATCGTGTGGACATTGGGGGCAGTGCCACTGGATTGGCAGAGTGGGGTGGTGGTTCCCCTCTTCAAAAAGGGGGACCGGAGGGTGTGTTTTAATTATAGGGGCATCACTCTCCTCAGCCTCCCTGGTAAGGTTTATTCAGGGGTACTGGAGAAGTGAGTCCAATTGTTGGTCGAACCTCAGATCCAGGAAGA